ATTTCACAATGAACATAATGCACTTCCTTTCAAAGCTTTGACCTAGCTGGACTGCTGTCTGTCTGCTGCTTTCTTCTTGCTGCAAAGTTATCAAAAATGTAAACCTCTTGTAATAGGCAAAATTAATGTGCCAACTTGATTGAAGTTGCAACATGTTTACTAAAATGAAGGTTGAATTAAATATACCTTGACTGCCAAATTTCTTACTTATAGTGAATGGGTGCTTCAGCATTCTACGACATCAAATTCTAGCTGTTAATTGCGGATACAACCAAATGCGTTCTACTACAGCATGTATTACACACACACACACACACACACACATATATATATATACTATATGTAGCAAAAAATGTGTATAATTTAACACGCCGCACAAAGAAGTCTTATGGTATCCATATCAGATTTGTTTCTCCTAGGAGAAGAACCTCTGGCTGAATAAGCCTGAAGGATAAGGATGAATTTAACCAAATTTTTAAAATAAGATTTGCAGACTCGTGTTACATACAATAAAAATTCATATTTAGGTTACTAATGTCTGTATATAGTGAATATTGCATTTCAGTCCATTTCGAGCTGAAATGTGCTCCATAGACTATCCTTTTTTGTTTTAAATGGCACAAATATGTAAAGCTTTGAGCTTTGTAATATAGACATGTAACATGTAATATAAAATATACAGTTTGGATGAAAATGTTACATGTATTTAATTTTGCTTTTAACTACCAAACATAATTACCATGCGTTTTACAGAAAATGTAGTATCTGATTGATTCCACCCGATTTTGTTTGTATAAGCAAGGTTTTTATTGTATATGTGAAACATTTATGGAAGTAATCACTTCATTAAGTAACATATATCGTTTACACCTAGAAAGAAATGCTGTATGTAATTACATCAAAGTGGCTGAAATCGGATAAAACAAAGGAATCCATAAATTTTTCCAAACGAGTATCGTGTTACATAAATTGTTCTACTAATTGAAAGGTATGAACTTTAAACCTACTTTACATTCTTTTAGATAGGCTTTTAGATAATTCAGAAATACCACTCACTAAGATATAATGAGATTTTACACCCGTGCTGCGGCGTTATAAAATCTTTATTATTGTAAAATCATAAATTTATAAAATAAGATAAAGAGCAATTTTCAGTCAGGAAAACCAACATGATACTTGAAACCAAATGGACTCATGGGTTAATAACAGTGACAAAACAGTAAACAGAACACAAAATTAAAAAAAACGAAACACATTTCGTATTTTTTTCATCTGATTAAAAAGTTTAATGTTTTTTAATTATTAAAGCATTATGACATTTGGAAAGCTAGATATGTTTTGTTACTATAATTCTCTATTCTCGACTGAATTATTAGGTTATTATTATTTACCGTTCACAAAACATTCAAAAATAACTTATCTCCCCGCATGAAATTACAGTCGTGCAATGGAATATTGCAGTGCTACTGTATCATCTAGTTCTTCGCAATGAGTTTACTTAGATGTCCCACGTTACCAAATGATAGCTAAAGTACGTAGCTTCTAGTTCTACCTGCAGACTGCTCATTAACAGAGCCAGTGAAAGCCAAGTAGTGGTCCACTGGGAGCCATATTTTGAGGATGGGAGAATTTACGTAACTAGGTCATTTCTGCATAATGAACCATGAAAATAAGAGAACAAATTAACTGAATATGCCGTGATGGGGCTCCTTATCAACCACCATTCTGCCACTAAGGTTCCATTGCTTCTTTTAACCATGGCTTATAACTAACTAACTCTATCAGTACATAAATCTCTCTAGCATTCCGCTGGTATTTGTTCATCACAGAAAAACAAGGAAGCTGCAATATGCCACTAAAGGCTGGATATATCTTACAGAAAAGCGCAACAGTTTACTATAAATATTGACCATTCAAGCAGAATTCTATAACTCTGTTTTTTTTTATTATGTTGGGTGTTTTATATAAGTGCCTATTAGGACACACCGGTAGTAATAAATCTTGAGATTTCCTTTTTCTTTTGAGCCGTACTTCTGACTATCTTTTTAGCTAGGTTGTTATTAATAACAATTACACTGCATCAGATTAGCTTAAGCATCTGATTCTTCTTTACAAAGGCATTATGAGTGATTTCTAGTACATATTTCTCTTTATCAAATATTCAGTAAGAAATGTTTTCCTTTATAACATCACACATTTCTTTATTTTTAACTATTAGTAAAAGTTTTGAGTCTTCATTGGCGTAAGAAATTGTGCTTTGTCTCGGGCCCTGCTTATGTGCTTTTTATCCTGCCATATTTTACTCTAGATCTGTAGTTAATGTGGTGTAAAAGATACGATATATATACGATATACGATACTGAATCTAAAAAAATTACATCTGTTAATGTTATTTTCATGTATTGTTTGCCAAATGAATATCATTTTAATAACTAGAAATAAGCAGAAATAATTCTTAAGGTTCGGGATTTTATTCTTTTTTATTCATACAGCATGATGAAAAACAAGTAATATAAAAAAAAATTAAAGTCAATTCCTACTTAGGGCAACAAAGAAAATTTTTATTTTAGTTACTTTTTATTAACATTATTAAAATTTTTTCGTTATAATATATATCTAGGACGAAATACTATCATAGTAATTGCTATTAATCAACTATTACTATCATAGATATTGAAGTTATTGATAAGTGCATGTTTTTGACGATCAGCTAATTTTCGAGTTTCGCGCTGCTGTTGAGACGCATCCTGTAATCTTTGATTTGTTTATCTAAGCATTAGCGCTTTTCTTCTTTTGTTCCATTTGCAAGCTTTCTTGGCGCTTATGTTTTTCTTTCTCTAATCGTCGCTTCCATTGTGTTGTAGTATCTTTTCGCATTCTCCGTTTGTAAAACAAGGATCATTTTAAAGGGTTATATTTTTTAAATACATTATTATCACGTTAACATAGAGATATAAGCAGAAATTTCGCTATATAATGGGACATTGCATTCGCTTCATCTAACTATGCAATTCTTTAATTCCATACACTTTAATCTTTAAAACTATGTCTTACTGTTGCCACTCATTTTTGTTAAATATTACAATCCCATTTATCACAGTCATGTACTATTATTTATAAGTTATTAGAAAATTAATTTCTACAGCACGTGAGAATTGTTAATAAACGGTCATTATTTGTAAGTCTTATAATATATTTAAAAACAGCATATCTTTAGTTCCGATAAATAGGAATAAATAAGGAGGCATTGACTTTAATATGTGAAACAACTGTGTTAACATCAAGTGTCATCCACTACAAGTTTAAAAAATGTATTTGAACTTTAATGGATGAATAAAAAGTATTTTATTAATGACGGAAAGTTTGAACAAGGCATAGGGAGAGTGTGAGCTAATAGTAGGAATTTAATAAGTAACATTTACCTTCAAATAAAACAGCTTATCATTCTTTATTTTAGTTACATTTGGCAATTTGTGTCTAACTGGATTATAAATCATAACAGGAAAGGTGAAACTAAGGTGTCAAAAATCTGATCTGAAAATTCATAGCTTTGAAAATCCAGCGCAATAAAAAAGCATAATTTTCCACGATGTTTGTTATGTAAATGAAAATAAGTGAATAGCTTCTTTAAGTGATGGCAAAATATAGAACTTTAAGATTGGAAGATAGTGCTGATTTATTGTGTACACTAGGATTTAAATACACAGTTATAATTCGTGATAATTTATTAGTCAGGAAGTTTTCATTTTATAGTGAAACTTTTAAACAGTGTAACAAAGAATAATCAGGATAACTTCTGCTATTATTTCGGAAACTCTATCTATTTCAACTGGTCGGCCCGATATGACGATTATCGCAGGCAGACTGATTCTGACGCCACTGGGTTGTATTCAAATCGCCGGTTCAGGTATGGATGTTTGTGATTGCAGTTAAGGTATGGATGTTTGCCGCGTGAGTGCCATTAAATCTGACCCTTCTGATAAGACTGACGATAAGGAAACAGAATACGGTACGCTTGAATTCTATTCACGAACAGAATACATTATATTTATTCAATTTTTATTGAGTTTAACAATGAATTAAATGTTTTGTATGTGTTAATTCACTTATTGTATCTTGATTGATTTTCCTTCTGCTCTTAATGAAGGATTCTTATTTTTGCTTTTCCTTCGTAACTTTTGGAAATAAAATTAGCAGTAATAAATTCCCTTTGTTTTCAACTTTAATAGTTTCTCTTCATTTAGAATATATTCCTTATTTTGCACTAGGAAATTTTATTTAAAAAGACGCTGGTAAGAATTCGATCTAATAGAGAATAAACACGGATCATTTCTTATTATTGCTAAAATGCTAAGTATTACTATATTGTGTATTCGAACAAGTAAGCTAAGATCTTATCAGTCTGAAGTGAGAGAAGTAAATGTTTGCGCGGCAGGCTTAGATTACTCAAAGATGATTGAAAGAAATGACAGAAAATATTTCTTTGTTGTGAGAAATTGACGCATTTCTCCCTATGTACCTTTGCGATGAAGTGGTTAGTATACCATGCTACCAGTGGAAAATCTCGAATTCTACACCCGATATACGCATTGTTGATTTTTCAAGATTAATACTCGCAAAAAACAACCGACTCCGCAATGGTGTCTGAACTAAGAAGTAGTTGATAATAATTTATGATAATCGTCATTTGGTCGAGTGGCTCACTTCCTCTCCCAGTCATCCTTTAAGAGAATAACGTGTGTATCAATATTATTAAGTTTTTTTCCGGAGACGAAAATACGAATCTTCATCTGTGCCTAGTTCATTTGTATGATATATCCGAATTCGAACATGTAACAAGATGTTTAACCTAAGAAATGGAATTTATAACATTCAACTAATCTGTATTCTAAATGAAATAAACTAGATTGTCGAATAATGATGATTACTCAATACACGGAGCACAGAAAGAATAATTGAATTGTAAGAATTTTTTTCTCATATAAATACCAGAATTTTACCTCCAGGTTTGAGTTTTTGACATACGAAGGGGTTTTTGACATGACAGTCTCTGTCATTCCAGAAGAAACGGTCTGTTGTTCCTTCTCCTTTGCTCGGATACCTAAATAAATTTCTCAGCTCCACACAGTTTTGTTGTGACAAACCATCATCGCTTGGTTGTTCACTATATCCACCATAATTTTCCCAACCGGGAAACCAATCTGTATAAATAAAAATGTATCAATTAAAAACAGGTTCTCCAATTGCCTTCTTTTGGAGAATGAATTTATCAAGTGATTAATTCAGTAAATTAAAATTAACATTAAAAGAGCAATATTTCAATACATAATTATTGTATTTCACCAAGCAGTTAGTTTAAGCAATAATTAATTACCATTGCATTTCAAAAGTGACAGAAAGAAAAGAGACTTACTCCAAGATATTCATACGATAGTCATTCACACATCATTTTCATACATGCAATATCACACACACGTTGTAAAACATTTAACAGTTTTACTATCTCATATTTTTCGGTTTATAAAGCACGAAACAAATTTAGGGTCGCAGAAATGGCGAATAATTTCAAAGTGCATTAAGTGGCTTGTTTAGCTTTAATTTAATTTCACTTTAATGATCACACGATTTTTATCAAACCAGATTATACTCTAGGTTTCCGATTTTAAACTCACTTAGAGTTTTCTGATGA